TGGCACCTAACAACAACTCCAACAACAACAATGAAAAGGGGTAACCTGCACAACAGAAATGAAAAATGTCATAGACTCGACTTTCCAGAATCATTAAGGCTGGATGAACCTCCACAAACTACTGTCCCGAGATCATCTTCAAACTTTTAGTCTTTAACCAAAAAGATCCCCTGCTCTTCGTACACCCCCAAAACAGTTTAGCTGACCTAGTAAACAAGGTCTGCCTTGAGCAATGTGTGTGCAATTTTAAGATCTATCCATGTGGGCACCCAAATGACAACAGAAATCTGAAGGATTAGCTAGGAAGCTCAGGGGCAGTGAGGAGATGGGAATGGAAGAGGAACGACTCAGAGAAGGAGGTGAGGATGGGTGCAGACCTCAGAGATCGTCATCATACATGGAGAAACTGCAGGACTGCTGCTGTGCCACTGTGTATATTCTCACCACGAACAACAATGACACATAACAAAGTGGCACCGATTCTTTATATAAGTCCCACATGCTTCCTACTGGAGTCTTGGTGTGGTGGCTGTGGGTTAATGCACTGGTCTAAGAAGTTGGTCTGAACTGCATGCCAGTGGTTCAAACTCACTAATGCGCCTCGAAAACCCTATACAGAGTCGCTACGAGTCAGAACCGACTCGACGGTACACAACAACAGCAACACGCTTCCTAACATAGTACATGAGATGCTCAACAATGACTCATCACTAGCACTTCATTCATGACAGTGAACCTGTTGTTACTACACAGGTATGGAGTCTTGGTGTGCCACTGATGGGTCAGCACTGGACTGCTAACCACAAGTTCGGTGGTTCAAGCTAACCAGCCACTCCTCAGAAACCCTATACAGGGTCGCTATGAGTTGGCGCTGACTCGATGGCCCTTTACAACAACAACCGCTATTATCCATGTATTGTTATTAGCAAGACAGAGGAGGTCTCAAGCTTTTAGGAGCTGTTGCTAGGACCCAAAATAAATGTTGCCACAATGTCTTGACCTAATGGCTTTCCGTAGCTGTCTACTGTATTCGGTTCATGCTTTGGATAACTCCAACTTTAGGAAAACCTCCTTACCTCTTGGCAGAAGAACCTCTGAATTTCAACAATAGAGCAGTGTTTCCAAGTATCTTCAGATAATTCAGAAGTGGGCAAATACTTTTTGCCAGATTTTTTGACTTGTTGGCTGTCCCCTGAGAGCTCTATTAAAACAAAATAGCCTTTAGTATCTTAACACTGCCAAAGGTCTTTTTCACTATTAAATGCTTCCTTTTAATAACCACCAGGCTGGTAAAAATTACGGTTGGAATAAGTCAAGAAAACGATGACCCATCTGATAAATGGTACTGAAATAGCTAGATAACTATTTCAGGAAAAATAAAAATAATTACGGTGCTTAACAACAACAACAACTGCTATCTTATTCTACGGTAAAGCTGACGCAAAATGAATATACATTAAAAATAGTATGAAGAGAATAAAACTAGTAGAAGAAGAAAATTAAGTTAATGTTGTTGTTAAGTGCTGTCGAGTCGGTTCCGACTCACAGCGACCCTGTAGACGGTTTCCACAGAGCAGCTGGTGAGTTTCAGTCATATAATCTTCATTTGGGAAGGCCATTCTAAGAAAAATATTAAAGTCAGAAATCATTCAGAAAATCAATACATCCGATCATATAAACATTGAATTCTGATTTGGTTATAACACACACATATATAATATTGAAATAAAAATGGAGAAATTATTGTTAATATGTGGGAAATGTAGCTTAATTTTCATAATACATGAGTAGTTCTTATGAACCAATCAGATAAATACAAAATATCCAAAGTAATTATAACAGTGATAAATAGGTAATTCACATAAAAACAGCTAGAAAAATCCAATCAGTGCTTCAAAGTCTGCTCAAATTCTGATAATTAAAAAGTACCGTTACAATAAGTCAGCATTTTTCATTTGTCAGGTATGCACGGGTTAAAGAAAATTGTAAAACCTAGTCTGGTCCGATTTAGAAAATCTGATACTTGAATACTCTTGGAGCTCCTTATGATTGAAAAAAAGAAAAAAACAAAAAACCCTACACTTGTGGAGAAAAAGGGTCACTCAACAAATGCGAGCAGAGAAGGGTATTTTCTACATTGTTTCTAAGCGAAAACGCGGAAACAATTTAAATGCCATTAACAGAGCGCTGGTTCTATAAATGATGGCCCATCCACCTCTTAAACACTATATAGTGGACGTTAAAAGTGAATGTGCGTGTTTAAGCTTAATCACACACATGTTTTCCTTGATATATGTGGTTTTGTCATTGAAAGGAAGGATGAAGAACATAATTCCACTTTCATTTAAACACTTATTTTGTATATCTGCCTGTCTAAACACCCACCCATCCATCCATCCATCCAATCGCCCATCCATCCTTCCATCCCTCCATGTGTCAGAAAATGTATCTGGAAGGAAAATACACCAAAAAGAATACAATGGAAGGGATTCAAGTGATAAGACATGCAGGGGGGTGTTATTTTGTGCTTTTGTCTTTTTGTGTTTCCTGGCTTTTTTGCGACAAGCATGTATTACTTTCACAATGAAGAGAATAGATTCCATCTAAAAAACAGCTATTTTCTTTCTGTAAGTTGATGGCAAAATCACAAATGGTTTCCCAGATTTATTTCCTAAAATGTCTGCAAATAAGCTTCAGACAAATTAAGCACACTTATAACTACTCAGCTAACAGTTAGCAAACTGTCAGTCATCTGGAATTTCATTTTACTACCTCTGTGCATCCCAGGGTAGCCTCTCTGGGCTACTGAGTACATCACAACGCCAATCCTTTAGAACTAGAATTCGCTGGCCTTAGCGGTCCAGACATTTGAAACATGGAAATTTAGGTCAGACAAGCTGCAGTGGACTCAGGGCGGGCAGACCTGCACTGAGAGGCAAGGAAGTGAAGTCACAGACAGGGATGTGATGGGGGCCTGCACACAGAGGGCCAGTCCAAGCTTCTGGACTTACCCCTCTGCTCACTGTGCTCTGGGACACTGGCACTCTGATGGCTGATGACGACTCCCAGGAATACATAACCATTTACATAAACCCACATGTACCCCATTTCAATAGCCGGTGAGGACGGGAGGATGAAGAGGTGGTCCGAGGCTGCCCTCAGGGAGTTCACTGTTGTGAGTGGTTACAACACGCTATGTCGAGTTGATTCTAACTTATGGCGGTCGTAAGGAGCGGTCGGTTTGAACCACAAGGTCAGCAGTTCATGCTCTCCAGTCGCTCCTCAGAAACCCTATACAGGGTGGCCATGAGTCAGAACTAATTTCATGGCCTACAACAACAACACATACCTGGGGTAGTGGTGGTTTATTAAGAACACACACATAACAAAAACAGAAATAGGCAAGATACTAAGAAAATCAGTATTGTTGGAGATGCAGCGAAGTCAGACGTAATGGGCTGCTGTTACTGTATGAACTAGACTTACTAACAGACAGAAGGACAGCATCAAAGCTATGACCGTGGTGGCCGCTGTGAGTTGGTGCAGAGTCACTGCCGACTCATGTGACCCCCGCATGTGCTCCTTGACATTTTCAAGGTTGTGACTTTTCAGAAACAGACTGCCAGGCATTTCTTCTGAGGTGCTCTGAATGAGTTCGAACCGCTAATCATTCTGCTAGTGGTCAAGCACTACACTGCGCCACTCCAGGCCCCCTCCAAACTATAAATTGCTCTCAATAATGAGTCCTTGTATAGTACATTTCCTCCAAAAAACAGCATATACTAACAAATTTTATCCTTAGCTTTCATAATTCATAAATACCAGAAATTCAGGAGTTCATATTCAAGAAGGGAATGTATCTACAGACATCTGTGGAATCATGTGCTTGATTATGAAGGTGAACTTCTCAGAGCAAATGCAAGCAGGTGAAATACATCTCTACATGATTTGTCCCTCGAGATGATCTTCCAAAAACATGAAAATCATCGTGCAGAAAACAAATATTGCTAAAATACCTGTCAGTTTACAATTTTCATTCCACAACCACGGAGGCAATCTAGAGTGCTGCTCTGCCCTTGGGCTTCCAGGTTGGAGGGCCAAGGAAAACATTTCTCATTGTGGGCTCCGAAGTCAACACAGTACAAAGGTGACAGGACTGCAATTGGACCACCTGTGTTTGCTAGCTGGTTCTCCTTCTGCAAAGACACGCAGCCTTGCAAACCCTCTGGGGCAGTTCTCCTTTGCGCAACAGGGTCCATATGAACTAGAGTCAGCTCGATGGCAGTGGGTCCGCAGTGCGTTCAAATAGGAGGTGGTTGATATTTTGGCTACAGTTGGTCGTTACCATCTGCTGGGTGGGTTGGTTCTAACTGGCTAGTAGCTATGCAACCCTGTCCTTCAGTGTTTCCTTTTGCAAAAGAGGGGAGAGCAGTGTCTAGGCCAGAGCGCTGAATGAGGGTAAGATGCTGCATGCGCTTAACGTGACCAGACAGCCGTCAGAGGACGTCCGGTTAGCATGTTAGCTACCCAGTGCTAGTGTTGTGGCATTGATTCCGACTCACGTGTACAAGGGAAGCTGCTATAAAGGGTTTCAGGGCTGTGCCCCGTCAGAAGCAGACTGCCAGGACTTTCTTCTGAGGCTTTCTGGGTGGATTAGAACCGCCTACCTTTAAGTTAACCATTGAGCGCATAACTGTTTCTCTGGCTTATAGATTCATCATTTTAAAACCACAGGAAACAGGGTAGAACCATAGGTATCAGATTTAGAAAAACTCATTATTTTAGATATCAGAACTCAAGAACATATTAGAAAAAAAAAAGAATCATTTCAGAAACAAAAGTAAACATGAGAACAACGGAGACAACTCAACAAATGACACAGGCTTCCACTCCTGATGGGCCAATCCTGCAGGGACCGGCTCAGTGAGCTAAGGAAGCCTGCTACTCAGCAACTCCGTTGTTGTGAAGCGCCATCAAGTCGGTTCCGACTCACAGCGACCCGGTACCGGGTTTCCAAGGAGCGACTGGTGGGATTGAACCACCGACCTTGTGGGTAGCGGCCATCCCACAGTGCCACCCTACGACTCTTTCAGTGATTTAGGCAGAATGACACAAGCGGCCAACGCAAACCCCAGCAAAGCTCCTCACAGTACTGGTTCTGTCTTTCTTCTGCTTGGTACCCTCGATGCCTTGGCTTTTCCCAGAAAAGGGTGGTAAGGCAGTCATCTACTGGTTTCCATAACAATGCAACCCAGAGAGGATATGACCCACATTCACATTTGGGGGCTGAGGATTCTGAGCTGATAGGGTGCAGGTATGGAAGATGAGCAGTTGGTCTTAGCAGTTCACCCTCTGCCCACTACATAGCAACAGCCGGGCCTCTGTTTTGACCGGCTCTGTGTTACATCCATAGTAAACCTCAGTGTTAAAACAGCCCCCAATTACTATGTCTTTAATGCAGAAAATTCACAACAAGGCTTTATCTACTAACTGAGGGAATGGGATGTCAGTTACTCGCTTTACGTGAGACGGACCCAGCAGGCCAGTAGGCCTGAAGAAGACGGCTTTTAGAAGACCTCTATCTATGATGGGGTATGAGGACACACGGGGACAGGCCCGTCCTGTAGACTGTGGCAGAGCTAGGAGACAGAATGCCGCAGTTACAACAGTACACAGGATGACTACACACATCGTGGTGCTGGTGGTGGCGGCGGTGATGGTGTGACGTCACATTAGATCCCACTCAGACCGACCCTATACAGGGTTTCCGAGGCTGTAAATCTTTATGGGAACAGAAAGCCTCATCTTTACCCTCAGGAGTGGCTGGTGGATTCGAACTGCTGTTTGCAGATCAGATCACAACCCACTACGTTACCAGGGTCCTGACTACATGGATATCTCTCTCACCTTTAGTCAAATCAAGGAAGTCCGCCATTGTGCTGTGTGCCAACAATCAAATAAACCTGCTGCCCATTAATTACTGAAAACAAGAAACAAAACCATGAGGTTTCCATACGGAACTGAAACTCTTATTACAAGACCCAATGAAGTTAAGTCTAAAAAAAAATAATAATGTCAGCATGAGCGATTTAATACAGACAATCAGAAAGTTTTGCTTCCATTCTGGAAAGCAGCTCATACCAATTTCAATGTCCATGGAAGCAGCAGCCAGGAAATCAAATGAAAATCTGCTACAAAACA